GGCCTGGTGGGCCAGGATGTGCTCCACTCTCTCCTCCTCCCCCTTCATCTGCTCCCGCGTGCTCTGATCAGATATGTCCCTGTCCCGGAACTGCAGGTTCAATGCTGTCCTTTTAAATAAATTCTTCTGGGGGGAGGGGAAGGTGTCCACTTAGTAGTTGGGATTGGGGTTGGCCCCCCAGACCTCTCCACTAGTTCCCTACTCCACGCCGGTATGTTGGATTCACATCTTGGGGCACTGGGTTGAAGTCTGGTCCCTCTTTCCCTGTGGAGATATAAACAATACCCTCCCCTTGGGTGGGTGAGTGACCTGTGCCCCCAAAAGGATGACTTTTTATACCTTATTTTTTGTTACGAACTTTCAGATCAGTTTTATCACATTCATTTAAAATCCACAAAGCCTTAAAGGAGGGTGACTTATACTCTCGGACACGAGGTGCTTTCTCTCAGGGCTCCCCAGAGAAACAGGCCCACTAATAAAGAGAGGAATTTGTTTGAAAAACTGGCACATGAGCTTGGGGGGCGTGGGGGAGGGTTGTTTAAAGGTGGCAAATCCACAATCCGGGGTCGGTCAGGTGAGAGGCTGGAAATTCTGGTCTTGGTCTCTTCTGTACCCACATTTATAGGTCAGACAAGTGGGAGGGAGGGGAGGAGAAGACATTCTGGTGAGATGTCTACTTATAGACTTGAGGCAAATCCTCCTTCAGGAAACTCCCTTTAGCTCTTAGGTCTTCAACTGATTCAACAAGGCCCAACCATCTTGTGGAGGGTCATCAGCTTCCCTTAAGGCTGATTCAATTACATATAAGAACTTTCTAATAGCATCTGAACTAGTATTTGACCGAACCACCGAGTCACTATAGACCAGTCAGGTTCACACATTAATCATCACAGTAGGCTGTGGACACACTCTACCAGAGAAAAACAGAAACGTCTGAAGCTTAGTTAGCTAGTGGCTAACTCTGGGCAGCTCATCTGGAGATTTGCGCTCTCTGTACTTTACTGCTTTGGGAGACAGGCCTAGCAAGGCTATTTCTGAAATCAGCCAATAAAAACCTTGTCACTCACAAAGTTCCAATCCCACTGTGCACAGGTCTCCGAGTCCAGGGCTGCCTGCCTTTACCTCAGCTAACAGCGACGTGGCTATTTTCACCCTGAAGCTGCTGGGCTGTCCCCCTGCGCTTCGTAGAGCCCACCACGCCTCCCCTTGGATTATCCTGTGATCCTACGATCCATTTTCACTCTACCTAGATGTCAGAACTTTAAAAAAAGTCAGACAAAGTGAAGTTTAAAAAAATAAATTTATTCCAACCTTGACATACTGAAGAACAAGCAGACAAATAAATATTATAAAGAGCCAACATCAGACCATGAAAAAAAATGACTTGAGGCAAAAAGACATTTTTTCTGGCAAGAATCTGAGTTTACACAGAAGTGTATTTTCAAAGATGTTTTGCCAAGATTGTCTGAAGGCAAACGCTATGATCTGTTACATTTGATAAATGCAACAACTTTTGAAAGCACCTTGTTTCTTTCCTAAAATCATGTTGCTAGAATGTAGCTGGGAAAACACACTCCATTTTCCAGACATGAAATACAATTATACGACACCTTGACATATTATAAACAGCTGTAATTCAAAATGCAGGAGCGTCATTAATTTGCTTTTGCAGTTTTTCACATCATAGTTTACCTCCTTGTTAATAAATAAGGACAAATATGGACAACATACATGTATGCTTTTCAGAAAGAGAGTGGTTTGGTTTACTCTGTGGTTTGTATGAAACCTGAAGATTTCAACAAGCATGTGATCATTTTAAATAATACTGACAACCTAAAAATAAGAACACAATTGTTTTCAGAGGAGCCATAAAATATTTTTTTGCCATCCAACCTGTGGTATAAATACCCCACAAAAAATCATCGTTGGGCTTCTTCCGCCCAACTATCATCTACTGAATCATAAGCTTAGAAGAGATTCGAACGTCTGTTGTAGCCACAAAACAACCATCATACTTCTTCAGCCAACTGCTCAAGGAGTTTTCCGCTAGCTAGATTTACATGCCATGGTGAACAGTCGTTAAAATAAAAACTTAAAAAAAGAAGATTTTAAAAACCTGTTTTTTTTTTTAAAAAACCTGTTTTTAAGAGCAAGTTGAGTGACTTTTTTCTACAGATGAGGCCCAGGCTGTCCCGAAAGGTGCAGTCATTTGATCAGGGTTACAAGCACCACTGCAACGAGAGCTCAGATGGAGACTCAGGGTTTCTGAACCCAGCAAGGTTCTTCTGGCAACACATTCTCCAGGTCAGATCCCAAATCATTTATTGCCATTTGACTACCAAGGCATGGGATAATTTCATATGAACCAGTGCACATATTCTGCCAACATCAGAATGACCAATTTGCTCCAAGGTTATTCATTACTTGACTGCCTTTGTGAGTGAACATAGTATTAATATTATGGCTGCCCAATGTCATGACTCTAAAAACAATCCCTTGTCAACTGGAGAAGACCAGGGCCTTGACCACACTTACATTCTCACTGTACACAGTCAGTGGCAGGCACTCCTCCTTACCCTGAGCATGTCAGCAGGCCTGCTCTCCCCACAGCGTGGAACTCTGCACGCTCTGGATGCGTCCCTCCCACCCTCAACTGACAGAGGATGTCGCTGGGCAGCCTATTCCTCAAAGGAAAACGGCGGTAAATGACACTGTGGGCTTTAAGTAGTTAGCATTTCAAGATGTCTCCACTAAATGGGGACATCAAGGCGGTGGAGTGAATTCTGACGCATGGAGCCCGCGTGTGTACAGAGTAGAAGCACAGTGCGATAGGATCTTCAAGGCTGTAGCCTTTCAGAAGCAAATTGCCAGGAAACCTCCCTTTTTGGTGTCCAGACCTTCAACTGATTAGACAAGGCCCACCACCCATTTTGGATCCCTGAAATTACTCTAGAACTCTTTTTTATTTCAAGCTTCTTGAAGAGGAAAGTATGATGTGTGGCTCAGGAAATCGTGGAAGTACCAGTGACATCTGTGATGGCGATTTCGTACTAGAAATTTACGTAGGTAATAAAAAAGAGAGCGAGTTTAAAAGGCAACGGGTACAAAATTACTCTATTTGAAATAAAAGTGAAAAAATGTTTATTGTGTTGACATTGATAGTGTTATAAAAAGGCAACGCGGAGATGAACTCAAGATAAATGAGTCAAGGTGGGTGTCCTTGGACCATTACAACAGAATTCCACGACCAAAGGCAACCTGTACACGGAACAGTGATCTCTTGCTCAGTACTAGAGAAAACGTGCTTTGCTTGCCGTAGACAAGCACACCCACTCCTCACTCACTGACATGACGAGGTTCCGAAGACCAGGTCATTATGGGAACACTGACATTCAGCAAAAGCAGAGGATTTCTTACTTTCTGTTTCTAGACCCTTCATTTGTCGGCTTTTCACACTTTAATTTAGAATACATGATCAGAGAAATAGCATCACCTTGCATTGCTCATCACCGTGTCGAGTTTAGTGATGAGGGCCTTGGAGGAGACCCACAGCCTAGCCACTTCCCTTCCCTCCAGGGCTGGGTCAGAGTTGCCGGCCTGGAGTTGCCTCCAGAACTCCATGCCCACCTCTAGGAGCCTAGTGCACACTGTCTGGAGCCTGGGGAGTCACACCAGGCTCACTTCCTCCTAGCCTGCCCTCTCCAGGCCCCACAGAAGTGGCAGCTTCAGTCCCCATTCTGCTCTCTTTGGTAAATCATCAAGCTCACACGCATTTCTTCCTAACATCCTCTCTGACTCTCCCTTCCTGCTCTAAACAACAATTCTGAAGTGCAGGCCTTACAGGAGCTAGGAATCCTGAAGAGGCACCCACTGGCTGCAGACACACCCAGAGGCGGCCATCAGCACACGGCCCGTGCTGTGAGGAGGGCGAGAACATTGCCCAGCTCCACTGCCATGCCCTTGGGAGGGGAACACAAGACTGTGACCCCCATGCTTGCTGCCTCATGAATGCACAAAACAGGTAGGATCACCACAATTGTTGTAAGGATGGAATGCCAGCGCACGGTTCATGAGGAGCCAGTGTGCCTGTCACAGAGCACGCTACAACCCAAGGAGTGGGAGGAATGGAAGCAACCACGGAGGTTGCCTGGCAGCCTGGCCCAGGCAGCGACCTTTTGTTGGGCTCCTGGCGGCAGATAGGATATTGTACTCACAGGCTGAGGGGGGCTTGTCAGCACATGGACAAGTAGCCACATAGGAGTATTTTATATACTGGGCTCCATTAAATACTCTATATCTAAACAGCTTGTCTTCCTTCATGATTTTCGGGGAATGGGCCCCTATGTTATCATTTCAGAAAGGCTTCCGAGCTTTATTTTCTGAAAACAAAACAAACACTACCTATTTGGGAAAAAGTCATGGGACTTCAAAAAGTCCTGGGAAATTTTTGTTATGATTTCAATTTGTTTTCCACATGACTTTCAGAAAAGAAAAAAACTCACTACCATTGATTGAGTCCATTCCGACTCATCGCGAGCCTTTAGGGCAGAGTGGGTGAGGGTGGGGTTGTGGCTGTGCACTGGGTCACTAACCACAAGGTTAGCCGTTTGAAACCACCAGTCACTCCTTGGGAGAAGGACTAGGCTTTCTACTCTTACAGAGTTACATCTCAGAAACACACAGGGGCAACTCTACCCTGTCCTATCAGACTCACTGCCATTGAGCTAATGCCAAATCACAGAACAGCGTAGACCCTTGAGGACAGTGTAGAACTGCCCCTGTGAGTGAGTTCCTGAGACTGTCACTGATTTCAGGAGTAGAAACCTCCTCTTTTCCTGAGGAGCAGTTAGAGATCTTATTATGTATCATAGCCCAATTTGTAACCACTACACCATCAGGGCTCCTACAAATTTTGAATGCCAAAAAGCTTACTTTCAGGCAGAAAGTAGAAAACTAAGCATGGGACATTCATTAGATAAATGGTAATATTAAAATAATCATATGTGCTTTATGCAAAAGTAATTGTGTATTTGGAGTTCACATAGTAATCAATTGTCAAGTAACTGTTCAATCTCCATCATTTAAAAACCAAGCTTCAAAATAAAAAAAAACCAAGCCTCAGTGCCAATGCACTTCTCCAAGGATCATTACATCGTATCTCACTTGTCACATGATATCATTTGGGCACGTTTCATTCTGCCTTGTATCTCAAATTGCCGACTCTGAGTGCTTGGACAACATAACTGTTTTTGTTTCTTGATCTGTGGGACTTCCAACAGGCACCTGTAGAAAGAATCAGAAGATAAAACATTTATGATATCTGGCATATCCAATTATTATGGATCTATGGCTAGCTTGGAACAACACAAACAAAAATGCCAGTTGATCATCTAGCTTGATTTCATACTTATTATGTGCAAAATGTTTTCAATAATATATCATACAAATGTCCATTACTTACAGCTTTAATATCACTTGTAATTCCTATGTTTATGTTGTGTCTTCTCAAATCAGACTTGATTAATGCTGAAATGAAGAAGCATAGGGGGTTATCATATAGTATAGGTGAATATGCTTTTCTCTGAAGAATACAAAGTCTTTTAGATATTGTCAGATTTACACACTATGTTGGGGTTAGGCCCTGCCTCGTGGGTTCCAATTTATAGCAGCCCTACTTACAATGGAACGGAACATCGTCTGCTCCTGTGCCACCCTTACAAACGATAGGTTCAAATCCTTTGTTGAACCACTGTTTTGACGGACCCTCTAATTTACCAAGCATGATAGATACCCTTTTTCCAGGGATTGGCCTCTGCGGACACTAATCCAGAGCCACACCTCTGCCCCTGAGTCCATTCTGATTCAGCATGAACCTACGGGACAGAGTGGAACGGACCCTTTGGGTTTGAGACTGTAATCTCTACAGGTGCAGACAGCCTCGTCGTCTTCTCTCAGAGTCCCTGGTGAGTTTGAACGGCTGACTTTGCGGTTAACAGCCCAACGGTGAGCACTATGACAGCAGAGCTTTTCTTAACATTATGGAGTCGATTTCCAACTCACAGTCACCCCACAGCACGGAGTGGAACCACTCCTGTGGTTTCCGAGGCTGTCAGTGGGGTTGACTCAAATGTCTCATCTTAATGGGAGTATGAAGACTCATTTTTCTCCCATGGAATGGCTGGTGGTTTTGAACTGCTGACCTTGTGGTCAGCAGCCCAATGTGTAACCACCCCTGCTACCCAAGTTGCTCACAGCTGTACCAATAGGTACCATCGGGATGAATAGAGAGAAGGATGGTAGCTATGGAGTCTATGGAAATCGACTCCAAAAACAGGTTTTTTTTTTGCGGGGGTGGGGGTGGGGGTTGGTCCTGGATCCACAATCAATGCTCACGGAAACAGCAGTCAGACAATATATGGCCTTGGGTACAGCTGCTGCCAAAGAGGTCTCGTAAGTGCTGAAGAGCAAGGCTGTTCCTGTGAGGGCTAAGGTGCACCTGACACAAGCCACTGTGTTTTCCGTGGCCTCAGAGGCATGTAACATTGGACACTGAATACAAAGACGGAAGCAGAGTCGATGTCTTGAAACCACGGTGTTGGTGAAAAACCCTGAAAGTTAGTTCTGAGTCATTCTTCCGCATAGATTCTCCCCTTGAACCAAGTCAGAGCCAGATGCCAGAAACAATTCCCCGTCTAGCTTTCATGGTGGGAAAGGGATGCCAAAGAAATGAGCAAAGTGAAATGACAGGAGGGGCCAGCAGGGGCCTGGAAGCAATAGAAGATGCAAGCTTTACTTCTAAATCCATTTTTATGCCCGTGTGCACGGTCAAACTATGGAGGAAAGGTCTTTGACAATCTCTTCCCCCTACTCTCTTTCCTGTCTGTTCTGATGATGTGTCTGCAGTGCAACAACAGGCTGCCCCTGCCCCGGGCAAGCCCTCGCACTGCCGTAATAGCTGCTTCCTAGCTGCGGCGTACGGTACCAGCAGCTTTCCGGGAACATCTCAGCTAATCCTCAAAGGAGCCCTGTGAAGCACCATTTGAGCAGAGTGCCACCATCCCTACCGTCTGTTTCCCAAGTGAGCCATCCCCGTAGGGGAAGCTCTGTGCCCTTCAAGTGAATGATTTGACAGAACTCCTCCATCCAGCACCTCAGTAATCCCCACCAGGTTACCGGGGTGGAGCAGGTAAAAAGAATAGATGAGACTAACACGAGAGGGACTGGTCAGTTTTGCCATTCCACTGGGGATACAGTGAGCCACCTCAGAAGCAGGAACAGACACAGAGTGCGTATCGGGTCCCCCTGGGGAGTGGCAGGAGCAGCAGAGTGGCCACCCGGTGCACTGAGGACAGCTCAGAGCCCTTGGGCCCCGTGGCTGACAAGCTGCAGACCAGAGAGAGATGTTTGTGCTTGCTGGCATGGCTGAGGAGAGGCCATGTGGTTATAAGGACTGTATCCTTTTTTTTTTTTAAATTTAATCATTTTATTCGGGGCTCGTACAATTCTTATCACAATCCATACATACATCCATTGTGTCAAGCACATTTGTACACTTGTTGCCATCATCATTCTCAGAACATTTGCTTTCTACTTGAGCCCCTGGCATCAGCTCCTCATTTTTCCCCTCCCTCCCTGATCCCCCTCCCTCTTGAACCCTTGATAATTTATAAATTACTATTATTTTGTCATATCTTACATTGAAGGACTGTATCCTTAATGTTTTTTTTATCCTGATTTCCCTAATTTTTGTTTTCTTTTCTTAACTTTGAACCTGTTAACTTCCCTAATAAGGCCCATAATTATGAATGCTACCTGTGAACTGTCTTTGCAAGAAATGATCAACAGAGCGTGCTGGGGAGGGATGGTAGGTATCAGAGTAGGGAAAGCAAGTTGGAGGTGGGGGCAAGGCTGACTTTTGCTGCAAGGATCGGCTTGGGCCGGGTAGGGTTGGGTTCTCTTTCCCTCTGTGTAACCAGAGTCAGACAGGCCCGCCCCACACCATCTCTTCTGCCGCCTCAATAATGACTGTCACGCTTGGTTCCTCTCTCTCTCTCTCTCTCTCTCATAATAAAGACTGGATCTATGTGTTTAAATGGCAAGTGCTTTTTTTAACACCCCTTATCATAAAGCAGAAAACTGAGGACTGGAGAGGTTAAATAGCCTGTGTAAAGTCACACTGCTGGAAAGCAGGGGATCCCAGCTTGTCTTCAGGTCTGTGCTGACCCCGCTGACGAGAAGCCCTGAGAACGAAGTGGATAACCAACTGAGCTGCTCACCATAGGAAGAGAACCCACGGGGGACTGAGGGAGAGCAATGATGCTGTGTGCTCCATCGGGAGTGGACCCTCCAGGGGCAGGTCTGCTTTCTCTTACAGCACTGCTGAGTCAGAATGGACTCGATTCGATGGTAACGAGTCTTGAGTTTTGTTACAGGGCTTTTATTTTCCATGATAGAAACAGGATAGCATTTGACGCATGAAAAATGACTTGACAAATCCATATCCTTAGAAGAAAAGAAGTAACAGGCTCTTATTTTCAACCTCACTCACCCGGCCCCTGGGGTGGCCACTGCGAAGCAGGGTACATGAAAAGTCAACATACAGACAGCATGACGCAAGTACTTTTTGTCATGAAAGTCCACCGACTGACCTGTTAAAATGATGCCTACGAACATCCAGATACAGAGGAAAAGATTCCCTCCAAAAGGACTATAGGCTGATATGAGCTTTTCTTGTGCCAATGTGAACAGGATTCCAAAGATCTAAAAAGGAGAAATGCTTTCTATTAATTCTGCCTCTTGAAAAGAAGTATAGAGGGGTTTCCGAGAACTTTCTTTAACACATTTTATTTGTATCGTGTAACATAAAAAAAATTCATTAAAAACAAAAACAAAACCCCATTCATGAAGAGGCAGCATTGTTCAAACAAAAGCTGTGTCCAACTCATTGTCCATTTCTTCAGCTTTCGACTAGAATGCCAGGCATGTTTCCTAATCATCCCAGGTCTAGGAGAAATCGAAGGATTACCTGCGCAGCAGCATTAAGAAGACCTGACGAAGTGCCTTCCGACTCAGGGTAAGTGATTTCAACAGCAAATTCAAACCCCAATGGTAGGTAACCAGTCATGAAGAAACTAGGAAAAATAAATCCAGAATTAGAGAAAGAACTATTGACAGGACAATATCACATACCCATGCAGTTGCTCTGTCTCTCAAGTCTCTTATAACAATCAAATAAGTGAACATTATGAATTCCTATGTGAAATGAAGACTATTCTGATTGGTCAATCAGCCCAGGGTCTCAGGACATAAAGAGCAGAGTAATCCCTACTTTTTTGCCCCCAAAGAAAAATTTACCTCTAGTTTTCTAAGTGAACTATCTCTCTAACCAAATAACGCTACCAGGATTAAACAAAGCATATCCGTTTTTCACTTACAGCATACCAAAAATCAATGTCACACCACAGTTCCATGCACACAGCAGATCCTTCAAGATTTAAAATATTTTAAAATCTTTAGATAAATGGAAAGTTTTATTTATTTATTTAGTTTAACATTTTATTAGGGGCTCATACAACTGTTATTCCAATCCATACACACATCTATGGTGTAAAGCGCATTTGTACATCATTTCTCAAAACATTTTCTCTCCACTTAAACCCCCGACATTAGGTCCTCATTTTCCCCTCCCTCCCCACTCCCCCCTCCCTCGTGAGCCCATGATAGTTTATAAAATGGAAAGTTTTATAAAACTGGAGTTAAGAAACAACATTTTAGAACTGAGATAGCATGATGTCATTCCTCCTGAACATGTTCAACGCTTACCCAAGTATTCCTCCAGTAATGAACACAATGATGAGGTAGATGACATGGTCCAGTGTAAAAGTAAATATAACCATTCCAACAAAGGACAAAATGTAGACGATCAGAGTAGTCTGTCTAAAGCAAAAACAAAACCATCATTAATGTTTTGGTTCTTCCAGGCATATAATAATCCTATGTTTGCTTTTGTTCTGGCCAGCCAACAATAAACTCTTTGGTTTTCACAATTTATACTTTCTTGTCCATGAAAAATAACCTAAAGTGTAGGGGGAGGAAAACTTGACAACTACATAGCTGGTAAAGGGTTTCATGTCCAGAATATAACAATAACTCCTACAGCTTAACAGCAGAGAGCCAAACAATCCAATTTAAAATGAGACAAAGAGCTTGAACAGCCCTCTCCCCGACAAAGCAACACAGATGGCTGAGCTCGATGTCCACAGTTGTGCATCACAGAGCAATTCAGCACAGTCGCATGGATTCCAGTGCGCTTGAGAACAGACGCAGTCTCTCCTGAAGTGGTCTGTGTGAGTCTTAACAGAGAAAGTGGTGCACAATACAGGTCCCCCCAAAATCAATACGACCAATGAGGTAGATGAGGAACTTGTGCACCACTGAAATCGTGCAAAAATGAAAGAAATTGGAGTGTCCACGTCTTTACATAATAATACTTAGATTTTTTTTTAAAAAAGAATTCTAAGTAAAGCTTCTTTTAAAATTGATGCCTGTGGACACCATGCATTTATCTTCATATACTTACTTGTATCTTTTGGTGTAATCCAACCATAAACCACAAAGAATAGAGCCCACCATTCCAGCCACGACCAGAACCAGTCCAATCCTTCCAGCATTTACTTCTTCTCCCTTAAAACAATTTCCATGAACAATTAACTCACACATCTTTAACATAGTGCTAATAGACCTTTTCATAGTTGATAGTAATAATCAGATAAAACTTAAGCATATAATGATATAATAATACCATGAAAGACGCAGTACGAGTGAGGATGAATGCGGTAGTGAGCAATTTAAGAACATATCGTCTCTTTTAAGACTGGGGGTGAAAACCTAAAATATGAAAGATGTAAAACAGGAAAAGTTTCCTTGGTCTTCCAAAAATTAGAAGCACAAGTATTCTTCCATAATTCAAACATGTGAAAAGGAGGCTAATCTGTTAACATCTACATATTCTAACAGGTCAGTAAATCCCTGGGATTTACTTCCCTACATTTGTATTGGTAGCTCCTAAATTTTTTTATTTAAAAAAATTTTTTTTAATTCAAAGATCACTTTATTGAGGGCTCTTACAACTCTTATGACAATCCATACATCAATTGTATCAGGCATATTTGTACAGATGTTGCCATCATTCTTTTCTAGACATTTACTTCCTATTGAGCTCTTGATATCAGCTTCTCTTTTTTCTCTCCCCCCATGACCCCGTGATTGATTATAAAGTATTATTTTCATATCTCACACCAACTGCTGTCTCCCTTCCCCCATGGTTTCTGTTTCTCTTCCCTCTGGATGGGGTGTGTGTGTGGTTATGTGTCGCTCATTGCAATAGGTTCCTCTTCCTCCCCACCTCTCACCCCTTCCCCCTACCCTCCTGGCATAGCTATTCCCATTCCTGTTCCTGGATTCCATGTGTCCTGAGCTTTATCTCTTATCTATACCTGTGTACCTGCTCTGGTCCAGTCCAGAGTGAGAAGCAGCACTGGGGTCATGAGAGTGGGGGGTGAGGAAGCCTCCAGGAACCAGAGGAATGTGTGTTCCAGGGGTGCTTTACTGCACTCTTAGTAAATTCTTTTCTTTTTTTAAATACAGTATTGTTATAAGAATAATAACCTCAAACCAAAACCAAAACCAAAAAAGAATAATAACCTCTGATTTCTGTGTTTTACAATTGGATTAAATATTTTCTCAATGGAAACAAATGTAAATCTTTTATAACACAGTCAGAATCCTGAATCTTATGGTCATGCTAATAAGAAGCTCAAGCAATATGGAAACATTCTCGGCAGACATGTAATACAACATAAGCAGAAGCTTACCTTATGATATGTCAATATCATTTGATTCAATAGTGTTGATACTGAATAAAAGGCCCCAGTCATGATACCTACATAATAATAAACAGAAAACCATAAATTTCCCATTTACCAGTTCATAAAACAAAATAGGATTCTTTGTGATATTTTAAAATATATAATGTATGACACAGACAGGTCCCTGGGTGGCACAAATGTTTTGCTCTAACAGATAAAAACATAGTAGCAATCTTAGTTTAATTATCTAGTGCAGCAGAACAGCAGGGGAGGGGAGTAGCAAGATCCCCAGGGAATGATGAGGGTGGACATTGGAGACAGGGCATGGTGCCCCAACAGTCTAGACTGG